AACAACTAACTAAACAACACAAATAAATGCAAGACATCCAAATGTCATCCTAAAACATCTACATTTTCATCAGTTCAGGACCTGCCTGAGCAGGACTTGTCATGTTGGTTTATCGTGTAATACGAATTTGTTAATTCATTGTGTTTTGGTATCTGCCTTTTAAAAAAGTGAAATACATCTGTATCCATCACTATTTTACTTCCATCCTCAGGGAAAGATGCACTGCAGTCTAGGTTTATGTTCTGTAATTTTCTCTGCAAATGAGTATAATAGGCGCATTCACACCGCAGTACTTTTCCCAGCAGAGGTCATCCAGAATTTTAGTTATCAGAACTGTTATCGTTCTGATGAACTAAGTAACAGATCGCGTTCACACCGGATAAGTCCTGAGGGAGGATTAAGGCAAATGAAAGCCCGCTGACGTCACTTCTTCTTCTTCTGCTTTGGGTTTTACTGGCAGGCCGCAAACAACTTCACGGCGTATCTGCCACCCGAAGGTTCCCGACCGGAAGTCCCGGATCGGGGACTGGCTCTGTAGAAGCTGCTGGACTGGCTTCGGTAGAAGATGCTGGGACTGGTTTCAGTCCCGAGCTTTCTGAGCCTCTTCCAAGTTAAATCGCCGACCCCGACACCTCTCATCTCCCACACTCCCATGGTTTTCTTTTGTGTTGCCATAAGTTTAGCTCTCTGCGTTTCTGCGCTGGGCTAATGGCTAAGCTATAATGCTAAGCGAGGATATAAAATGACGGCTTCACAAAACCTTTGGGAGTTTATCGGGCGGTGGTTGCAATCCGCCCAGGCCAACACGACTAGGAACCTTTTTCTCCACGAAAGTACCGCTCTCTAGCAGGGGATGGATAAGGGGGTAAAAAAGGTTCCATGAACTCATTTTAGTTCCGGCTCTTTTTTGTGTGAACGCGACAAAAGTACTGCGGTGTGAACGCGCCTAATGGGAATAATGAACTGCAGGTATCCTGAAAGGCGGTGTTTTAAGTAGACGCCATAAAACGGCCTGAGAATTCTCTTGATATGGACCATATATCATCTCTGGTAGTATTATTGGCTCATTTTGAACAGAGCTCCTTGTCTTCAATAAGCTCACACATGGTGTCCTGTTGGTGTCCTCTGCAGGCCGGTAAGGTGCGTAAACATGTGTCGGAGCAGGAGAAGGCTGAGGAGGGCCTGGGCCCCAACATCAAGTCCATCGTCACCATGCTGATGCTGATGCTGCTCATGATGTTCGCGGTCCACTGCACCTGGGTCACCAGCAACGCCTACTCCAGCCCCAGTGTAGTACTCGCATCATACAATAACGATGGGTGAGTCATACAACACAATGGGCTTTTCCCAACCATATACACACACGTTAAGACATCATGTACCTGCCTCCATTCTAACATGATTAAAATGCCACTTTCTTGAAACTTTACTATATAACAAAACAATGAATAAAGTATGTCTGATTTTCATTGCATTCTAGAATTCTGCCATCAAACCTTTTTAAACTGCTTTTCAAATATAAGTATAGCCCTACATTAGCATAACCTGTACAGTTGTATAAAGAAAGAAAATAACAAAACATTTGAGCAAAATGTTATCAGATCCAGCTTGTTACCAGCAATTACTCCATGAACTGATATGGACACTTGGGAGTGTCCAACAAGAAAAGCTGATAATGCTCGGAGAGAGGCTGTTAGTCAACACCAACACATCCTTCTGCTGAAAGGCAGACATCTCAGAGATGGATGTCAGGGGAGCAGCTTGCATAACACAGGCACTGCATGGACAGGAAGCGGTGAAGGACTGTGTGAAGGGCTTTAATGCTGTGGTTCTAAAGAGCTCATAGAACAATTGTATACAAAGTTCCTTACAATAAAAGGAAAACTGATCTCTGATGTAATATTCACAGTAAATAATCTACTCGAAATACATATCTCTTGTTTTACAAAACCTTTGTGCAGGTCCCGTAACATCCTCGATGACTTCAGAGAGGCGTACTACTGGCTGAGGCAGAACACAGACGAGCACGCCCGAGTGATGTCATGGTGGGACTACGGCTACCAGATAGCAGGCATGGCCAATAGAACCACGCTGGTGGACAACAACACCTGGAACAACAGTCACATAGCACTGGTGAGAGCTGCTCCGCCTGTATGACCTCTGATCACACCGCAGTTACTGTGCTAACGCTGAAACTGCGTGCAAAGTTACAAACACATCAGCGTTGCTCCTTGCTGTCCCAGTTTTTATACGGAAGTGGCATGTCCCCTTCAGTTCTTCCAGCTTTCACGGCTCGGATAAGTTATTTGCTTCTGATGTACAGAGTCAGTGAGATCCATGCCGAGGAAGATTTTTGTTCCTTTCAGTATTTGGCTATCTTGCTATTCAATTGTGTTGTGCTCTATAAACACTTTGATCAAAATCACATTAGTTATAAAAAACAGATATATAAATCTAATCTATCACGCACACACAGATACAAATACATATACCACACTGCAAACTCACAGACATTAGCTAACCTCATTCCACATTGAATTCTGCATGGATCTCTCTGTTGTACTGTAAGTTGCGTGCACATAGTGAGCCAGAGCAGCTTCCACTTCACATTGGGCGGCTGGGCGTTAAAATTAGTCAAGCCACAACGGAAATTAGCTTAGCAGTGGCCGGCTAGCAAACCTGCTAAAAAGTGTAAAAATATCTTTATTATTTTTCTAAATTGATGCTATGAAATAGACAATTGCTGGCTGCCACAGTGTTGGTGGTTCACAGGAAACAGAGCAGGTGGACATCATGTATCAGTGCACTGCGAGCAGGTGGAGGGGAGATCTCAGGACTGGACATCTGTGCCACCGGTACTCCCTTGATTTAGACATTCATTGTTTTAATCCAAAAGAAAATGAAAAGATGCAGCAAATCCACACATGTTCTGACTCAAATAGGTCAATTTTCAAGACCCTTCACAGTGACATCATCAGGGTTGTCTTCTCAGACGTGATAATGCTTGGGCTCCTCCAAAGCCACTGCTCAACTGAAAAGTACTAAACTGATCATGGTGAAATCACTGCAGTGCCCCTTTTTAAATATTCACATGAGTTCTGTTGATTGGAAAATGAAATGTAAAGTTGCTGTTCCTTTATGTTCCCACAGGTGGGAAAAGCCATGTCATCTAATGAGACGGCAGCCTATGAAATCATGAGGTCACTGGATGTTGACTATGTCCTGATCATCTTCGGGGGGGTGATTGGCTACTCGGGGGACGACATCAACAAGTTCCTGTGGATGGTGCGCATCGCAGAGGGCGAGCACCCCAGGGACATCAGGGTGAGATAGGTCACACCACCCGCTCAGAGATGTGCTCTCTGAGGGAGCAAACTGCTTAGGGAAATCAAGGATCTCTTGTGTGCCAAATGGTTGGGCTGCTACATCAAAGGAAATCATGGATCAAAGTGTGTGAGTTGACTTTTCCCTTTCCATCTGTCTCTCTGTTTTGCCTCTGAACCCAGGAGAGTGACTACTTCACCCCCCAGGGAGAGTTCAGAGTGGACAAAGCTGGTTCCCCAACGCTGCTCAACTGCCTCATGTACAAAATGTCTTACTACCGATTTGGAGAAATGCAGGTTTGTCATCATGTATGATCTTTCTGCGCAACATGCTTCCCTATTCCATAGGAACGTATCTGTACTGTTTTCTTGCATAACTTGTTTCATTGCAAATACAAATGCTTGACAAAATAGTTTTTAAGTGGAAAATAGATTAAATAGGATTCAGACATAAACAAGCTCACTTGTCTTTATTTCTGTTTTAGCTGGACTTCCGGACGCCGCCGGGCTTTGATCGAACTCGCAATGCTGAGATCGGAAACAAGGACATCACGCTGAAGCACCTGGAGGAAGCCTTCACCTCAGAGCACTGGCTGGTCAGGATTTATAAAGTGAAGAAGCTGGAGAACAGAGACCGTGTGGAACACCAGCTGAGAGGCACCGACACCAAGCAGAAATACACCTCCAAAAAGGTACCGCCCGATCCCGATGCTATTCTTCATCTGGTGTTCAACCGTGCAATCCATCGTAACCTGTCATATTATTTTATTCACGTATTTAGGCATATTTAATAGCATTCAATGGCCATTCATTCACTTAATTTGTACAACAGTGATTATACAGAACAGGCTTTTAGGTGATGCAGGAATAAGGGTGTGTGTGCTCACTTTTCATGTCAACACACACAAAGCAAATGAAAGAGGTTTTCCCTGCAGTGAAAGAAAGGGCCTCTAAACAACAAGCACATATTAACACTGTTTTTGTACAAAATGATACCAAAGCAATGGGGTCAACGTGACCTCTGATGCGGTCTTACTTCAGATGTGATTAAAAAGGTTGATTATGTGTCATCTGAAGTGTCCAATCTCGGCTTGATTTGTCTTCTCTCTGCAGACATCCAAGAGGAAGAGGGGACACATCAAGAACAAGCTCTCCCTCAAGAAGGGCAAGAAACTGAGCAAGAAGTTTTTATAGAGAGCCCCCCACCACCAGAGGCACATTGTGGACGGTAGAGGAGGAACATCTAAAACCAAACTTTCAACAAAATCAAGCAGCAACAGTAAATCCACCAACAAGATGAATGAGGAACACAGTCACCCCAGGCTCCTGATATTACCATCAGCTGAAAGAATGTGTTGACCCCCAGCTGACCTTTGATCTGATAAGTGGGGTCAAAGTGCAGAAAATGGGAGACCCTACCCACACTGGTTTTAACCTGAGGAACCTTTAACTGGCTTTTCTTTTTGTACTTGAATGTGATGAGAGACAGAGAGCTGTCCTCATTCCGAGGAGCCTGCAGGAACACACCTCTGTTCTACCACGTCCCCAATCCAGAGGGAGGCCCAGTGATTTAGGGAGGAATGAAAGTGTGTTTTCTCTTTGTGTATTCAAATGTTCATAGATATTCTATTTGATGCAAAGGAGAGCAACCCAAATGCACCACCCTGCTTCTTGAGTTTTGCCTTTCAGAGGTTGAGTTTTTGCTCAGATGCTTTTGGAAAGTTGAGGTGGTGGAACATATACAGCAGTATGTTTTTTATGCGTTTCATTCAAACCAATTATTAATAAGAGTATGCATGTACACATATGTGCCAACATGAAACGGCCATCACTAGGCCTCGTCCTGCTGCGCTGTCTTCAGCGTTTCTATCAGGAAAGATAACATCCTTTATATGGCTCAAGCTCCATATCCATTTGCTCCTACATTTCCCACAATTCAGGCTTGCTGCGTTTAAACTATTATTTGTTCAGTCTTTGGAAGCTCCTGCTAGCAACAGAAGACGTCATACAATATCTAACAGTCCAAAGCTCGTGTTTCTTTCCCTTCAGACCTTTGTTAGTAATGCCCAGAGCTCAGCAATGAGCTAAAGAATACAACATTACTTTAGATTATAGAAATGACTTCTAAAGCTATGAATCCACTCAACCAGAAAAATCCTTTAAACTGTGTGTGATTGTGAAAGCTGTGTGTGATTGTGAAAGCTGTGTGTTATTGTAATCTGTATCATTCACACATTGAGCTCAGGACAGAGCTCAGTGTCAGACCTTTTTAAGATGCGCTCTGAAGCCAGCCATGTACCCAGGTTTACATTTGATTGGTTAATGATGATTAATCAAAGACTCACTCAAATGAACACATCTCAATGTGTAGGCAGGGCACGTTCCATCCTTCAATTGTGTGTGTGTGTGTGTGTGTGTGTGTGTGTGTGTGTGTGTGTGTGTGTGTGTGTGTGTGTGTGTGTGTGTGTGTGTGTGTGTGTGTGTGTGTGTGTGTGTGTGTGTGTGCAGGTTTGTGTGTGTGTGTGTGTAAGGTATATGAAGTAACTACATGTGAGTGTAAACGGATCATTTTAGTCTCTACCACTTTGTGTTGCTAGTAGAATGTGCTAGCAGGGGTTCATGTCCTGCCTGCCAGTGTGATCATTAAACACATTTGGAATGAAGCACTCAAATGTCAAGCTGCTGGGAAAACTATCGGTGCCTAGGAGCATTTCAAACACTATGAATGGAGAGCTCATGTCAATTCCTCGAGCCATACTGCTGTCTGCATGGCTGTCAGTCGGTCACATTCCCTCCATGTCTCTGATCCACCACTCTTCCCAGGCGCATTATCTGCTTCAGACATGCTTCACTAACACCGAGCGTTTCCTCATGAATCTGGAGGAACAGGCTCTAAAGTCCTCCGAGGTTTCCACACGACGGAGGGCCATTCAGACGGTGGACACTCTTATTCTTTGTTATTTTCTGAATCTCCACTGTTTGATCTTTATTTCTGTCATGCAATCAGTCTTACCATTTCTCAGAATAACCAATGAATTTAGATTTGAGTGAGGTTTTTGCCCTATGATTTAATACTTGTTTCTTGAAGACATCACAAGAAGCAAATGACTCCTGCTTGAGAAACGGAACAGAAACAAGTCTCTTATTCCCAGAGCTCTAGTCAGTGAGCTTATTTATTTCATGGACGCTGGAGTCAGATGACTGAAGCTGGGCAGCGTCCCGTCAGGAAATGCGAGGATTTGTTCAGCTTTGATTTTCTAAGTCAAGGTTTCTTCCTTCAATTGTAATGTAGATGCAGGTGTGAGAATGAAACATGCCTTTTCAAATAAAGAGGTTGAAATAACTTTGTAATATTATGTCTTAATTACTATGTGCACAATGCTTGTGATATTATACGGTATACTCAGGAATCCTGAAGTCAAATGTAATACTTTTTTAAGACCCTTTCCATACATTTTAAGACCTCATGGCCACTTTCATTTTTAACCGGTTACATTGGCGACACACTTTACCTCAGATTGTCCTTCCTCCTCATCTTCCAACCATTTGGACGCAGACTTGCATTTCCCCATAACGATGTTGCTTAACAACCGGCGTAAACGGACCTTCGCGCGCTATCAAGCAGTGAGCGTGCGATGTCCTGTTCAGATGACGTCAAATCCAACGGGATGCCATAAATAAACTACACAGAATCACACTACACACCTACGCAATGATTACATTCAGGCAGACTGTAGAATACAACCTCTTTGGACAATTGATAGACTTATTAAAAACAAGCTACAAAATGTAATACCTTGGGAAATGCCGTTTAATACTTTTTAATAGCCTTCATTTTCGCTAAATTAATCAACTTGTAATACCCCGCGAACACCCTGATACTAAACTGCATATCTCTCACACATTTTTCATATTTACATTAACTTATCTTTCTACAGTAAACATTTAGAAAGGATGAAGGCACATTGAAATGAAAAGCTAGTATCAATGTGAACCATTCCTCCATGTTAATGCTTCTTTAGCTTTCAGAACATTAACCATGCTGTCATCTACTATTCTGCTCTTCGTTCAGTGAACACACCACTTCCACAGTGCATCTGTGACCTCACACACTGAAAACAATGAGCGTACAAAACAGGATGTTTTTATATTTCAAATGTTACAGCCACCATTTTCATAAAAATGCACACAATAAAACAAACACTTTAAAAAAACATACAATTGCATTGACAAGAACGCATGATTTGACTTTCAGCTCCTTTGTCGAAGCTAGAATATGTTCAAAACATAAATGTATGAACAATTCTACAATTAATTATTTTCCATGTCTTAAACACTTGGACATACAAATACACAGCAGCTGAGGATGAAAAACATCAACAAAAACATATGTAAAGAAGCAGGTGTTTCACCGTCACACGACAAGCAGCTTGAACTGTTCCGACTCCAGTAGAAGGTGGAGATACTGGGACGAGGGGGGATGACCTGGTTTCAGGAGTTTCTTTTTAGGTGGAATAGATTTCTTTAAGAACAGTTTATCAAAGGTTTGTCAGTTTGCATTCAACCTCAACAATATGACAATGTGTCAATTATTTATTCCAAATGTTCACTCTTGGGATTGACTAATATGGTTCCATGTAAAATTAGCATGAAATCTAACAATCAACCTCCTGGTTTTTGAAAGTGGTGTTGCTTGATTTCCATCAATCAGATTTGTTTGCATGAAACGGAAGCAGCTGTTCTGAGGAGCACCTTCAAACAGAAGCACAGCTTTAGCACCTACTGCTGATGTTCTCTGGCCAGATGTTTGATGAAAAATGACATACAACAACACTGGTGATATTCCATGTTTTAGCTCATGAAAAATATCCTACATCTCTGTTAACCATCGTTCTTTCTTCTTTTTTTAAACAGGTGTCCATTCATTTCAGTATTCAAATAAACTTCCAAGGATTCAGAACTTTTAAAATGCCTTAGTGGGCTTTAGATTTACAAATCATGGAAACCTGAAACTTGTTTAAGGTAGGTCAATAATCAAAAGGTGAACTCTACTTTGCCAAGTCTGTCAGCATTGTGTCGGCTGAATCAAGATGTTTATTCGGATGGAATTGTTATTTAAAGAAAAGTTAATCTATTTAAAGTGTACTGAAATGAATCAAACTGTCGTCAGTAATATCAAGTATAGACTGTTTGTAGTCAGTGGGCTTAGACAACAACTACACATGGACAGGCTGCACACTGTTGGGGAACTCCAGGGCAATTACCCCCTGTTCCAAATCATCAATATTATGAACAAGTCACCATACACATTCAAATGTCCCCTTGGTGATTTCTGTCAGATGGCTTTATGACACTCTTTCATCAATACAAGTTAGTTCTCCTCTTCCTCTTCCTCCCCTCCAAATGATAGAAGGCTGTTATTTTTTACTTTCTTTCCAGACTTCACCTCTTTCTTCACTTCCTCCCCCTCCTCCTCTTCTTCATCACTCTTCTTCTTCTTGCTGGAGCTGGCCTTGATGCCCTGGAATTTGTCTGAGGAGGAGCGCTTGGCTGGTTTCTTGAAGAGGATTTTACCATCATCTGTGGACAGGACGGATGTATGTGATTCATCAAAAACAGTTAGTGGTAGATCCCTGCTGATGCCTTGGCAAAATACAACACTTGGAGCCTATCGACAGAAATGTCAATAAAACATGGAACTGGACTGCATCATTCCGTTTCTGTCCAGAACAACAAAGGAACCCTTGCTGGTGTTACCTTTCTCCCCTGCAGGACGCAGCTCGTCCTTGATCTTCTTCACGTCCTCTGCGCTCAGGTCCCCCCCCTTCAGAACCACCACCTGAGGGAGCTCGTCCTCCCGGTCACTGCCGCTGTCATCATCCAGGACTGGCATGGTCTGCAACTGAGAGGAAAATAAAACACAGACATGCATCTAATGAGAGAACTAAACCCGTTTCAAATGTTTCATTCATATCTTTCCAGGCAAAGCGGTGTTCCGATGTTCGAATCAAAGTGAACGTGTATTGTTAAAATGACAGACAATGGTTCAATCAACAGACTGTCACTGAGACCCAATACAAACACAAATCTGGTCAAAAGAAAGCTATTGCTATTATTTCACTCAAATGTGTTAGCCTTGTTCAGGCTTTGTGTTGCTAGCTTAAACGTAAATACAGGAATACAAAGCCCCACATTATTTACATATTCACCTTAGTTTCAACACTCGGTCCTTCTTTATAACCAACATCCTTCTTAAACTTCTTCAGAAAGGACGGCTCCGCGGGTTTCACCCACGTCACGCCACTGGCCTTGCTTTTGTTCATTGCAAATGAGTTATACGATCTAAAGACAAAAATGTTTGCAGGCCTAAATACACTCTACGGTTTCACCAAAGATGTGCCGCTGCAAGTCACGTGCTCTCAGGAGCTACTGCAATTGGGCGACCTTTTCTTCTTCTACTTATTTCTCCGCAGAATAGCCACATTTGAGTGCACTGCTGCCTCCCACCGGAGTGACACGACGTGACACAGAAACAGGAAGTTGACTGTCAGTGGGCTGTCTCCTCTCTGATGCTGGCCGACTCCTGCCGCAGTCAGTCAGATATGATTTCAGGATCTTTTTATGCGGTATTTGCGGGCTTTTTGGGAGCCACTGCCTCTCTGTCCGCCAAGCTGTCCCTCGGTGCCGAGCACCTGAGAGGGATGTGCGTGTCCGGGCTCAGCTGGACTCACATACCCGGAGAGACTGCAGCCTGCGACTGGGTGAGGAGGACCGCTTCAACACTACTCTGGGTCTTTAATACTTTCCGGACATGTTAGAAGAAATACATGCATATAACTCGAGGGTCATTTTCACTTAGTTTGGGACATGGTACTGTGTGGAATCCAGTGAGTCTAAACAAATGAAGTTGTTCAGTGTTCAATCTTTTCTACTTTTATTTTGTTGTTGTAACATCTTGTACAACATGCTTTGACAATACTATGTTTTTGATATGGCCGTGCCAATAAAGTTCCTTTGAATTGTAAGAGTTTTTACTGCAGGTGTGAAATATTGAATAGGAGGAAAATCACAATCATCTATCAATCAATCACACAATGTATTTATCCCGGGAAAATTCGGTTTTGTGACAGTTACTCCATTTAGAATGAAATAATAAATGAATGATATATTTGTAATACATAAGAAATGTGTTGTTAGAACTTGTGCAATTAAAATAAATATAATTATACTTCATGAACTTAAGAAGTTAGAGTAAAATATTAGGATACAAATAAATAGACCTTTTCTTAACAGTAATGGTAAAAGTTAATTTTAACTATATGCTGCTACTCTATTTTCCTACTATTGATTTATTTGGCCACAAACAGTTGCTCTCACATAATGAGTCAGGCCACAATGGTACAACACACACACACACACACAACCACACACACCCACACACACACACACACACACACACACACACACACACACACACACACACACACACACACACACACACACCCCTAATGTAAAAATCATGCAAGTCTCTACACGTTTTAAAGCTATTAGGTGTAGAGCCTCTATGCTCTTACATTTGCCCTGCTAGTATAACTAAGTGTTGCTGAACTGAAAAGGAGCAAGAATAACCTGTAATGTTTCATTTGTAGCATGCAGTTCAAGGAACACTCATCAGTGAAGTGAAAAAGTAATGCCTTTTATGTGTTTAATAACTACTGGAACCATTGTGGGCTAATAGTAATGGTGACACTTAAAACGGTAAGGAACCAGATGTGAACCCAAGTGAACAGAGAAGGGTTCTCCTCTCTCCTCCTGTGTGTGTGCAGCTGCTGCTCCCTCTGCGGCTGCTGTGTGCCGGCCTGCTGCTCTCCTGTAACGCTGTCATGTGGGCCTTCTTCTCCAAGGCTCTCAGACACTGCTCCTCTTCAGCCAGGGCCACGGTCACCACCACTGCGTCCAACTTCATCTCCTCAGTTAGTATTACCCATGATGCAATGATCATTTGAAAAGAAAAGAACTTGGCAGCAAATTATTCTGAAGGTGTCCAGTCTCTTGTGCCTGTGTTTCACAGCGAGTCTCTTCTGTTTGTGTCCAGGCCATCCTGGGGAGGCTGTTCTTTGGAGAGAGTCATGCAGCTCTCTGGTGGGTGGGGATCTCTCTGACTCTGTGTGGCCTGCTGCTGCTGCATGAATCCACGCCTCACACACTCCCACCGAAGGAGGTCAAGAAGCACAGCTGATGGAGCCGTGATCCATGCACGCGGACACTGTTCTTCAGTCACAACTACCTGTGACAAGACTGACGAATAACGATGGGAACCCTCAGGGCTCAGTGGTCATTAATTGTCCAAATGCAACACAGTGGCACACCAACATTCAGACAGACACACAGAGCTGATGATTCATTCATCAGTCACCAGTTCAGTGCATAAAGTGCATTAACTGTTCATGCAGTTGTTTTGGAAAGGAAACGTCATTGCACATCTTGTTTTGGTGGGGTTTGAGATCAACTTTCTTTCTGAAATTGGAATTGATTAGATGGCAAGAATACCAGGAGAGTAGTTTTACAAATCCCCAGTGTGCCTGTGGGAAATGATTCCAAGCACCACAGAGCTGACTTTCAGGACAGCTGGTTCAAAACTTGTTGATTTGCATTTTTGAACAAATAAGTACATCAGAATCATGGGGACTTTTGCTGAATGTGTTAACGAGATCTTATCTGTATTTGTATTACAAATAAAATGAATAAAGGATGCCTGCTTTATCTACAAGGTCAGAGGAGGGATCCCTCTCCCAGGAGGGACAGACGTGCAATGGACGTCGTGGGTAAATTGAAAAGATAATACATTTACAACATAGGTAGACCAAATGCTTGGAAATGCATGTGTCTATAGTAAAGCTAAAGTCCATGGAGTACTATAAGTGCCACAAGTTGGTGTTCTTCATGTGGATGCTCGTCACAGCATAACAAAAACAAACAATGTTTCGTTGCTACATTTGTGGTTCGTCGCATCATGCACCAAGTATGGTAATTCAGCACATAAAGTACTTTGGTGGATTCCCACGTCAAAAAGATCTTGTGTGTGCCCAGCAGGGATGTTCACTACAGATCAGAAGTTTTGCAGTGTTCACAAAGCATCTAAACAGTTGTCATAGCAACATTAGTATCGGCCCTAAAGGCAATGTTAATAACCCAACAGCACATCAGGGTTCCCTCAAAGATGCTTCCGACATGGACTTAGATGAGATGAATGAATCTAAAGACCTGTGTGACATCATGCATAATATACTGGAAGGTGTCGACAGTATGAAACAAAGTTGATGTTGGAATACTAGAATGAGAATGTCTGGAAAACATACTCCAATGTACTGGCTTCATGGATACAAAGAACCGTCCATCACACATACATCTCTTTCTGGCTTATTGTTGCACATTCGTTGTACATGGGTAGTACATTCTTTACTAACATTGTGTGGATTTATTCGCTACTGTTGTTAATATTATTTCAAAATGTAACTCTTAAAGTATATATTGTAACTCCTCATAGTGTGTTTTTTGACTCTTTAGGAGTTTATTGTATGCTAATATTGTTAATCTGAATGTATATGATTATATACAAATACTCTGAGTGTCAGCAATAAGTGAATTTGGAACACTGACTAGTACCTAGCCGGTACTGGAGGGGTTGCAGTGGGTATGTAGAAAGATTAAGGATTGCATTTTATTTCCATACAACTAAACATCTTTAAATCAATGAGCCGTGTTGTTTTGTGCAGAGAAAATGTAAAACTGTGGCGCAAACAAGCAAATAATACAACATCAGTCCACAAGGGATGAGGACAACCAGACTGTCCACACGGGCTTTCATTCGGCTTGAATGGGCTTCAGTCATTTTGTTGAGCCACCGTCAATAAAAGAGTACTAATTTATTGTGTTAGAAAGTTCACACTCATTCCACAGTTTGTGCCTTTCTTTTTTGGTCATTAAGGTGATGGAACAATCTTTAATGAATGTGGACTTCAGCCCTCCTCAAGAGGGGCTTGCATGTGTTTCTCGGGAGGTGCAGTGGAGACATAAACATATGTTTTGCTGAAGTCAAAAGCTCACATCTTAGCTGTACCAGAGTTAGCTTTATGCTAATGTACACGTGTCACAGGAAACAGAACAACATCTGTTGTTATCATATTTAGTACATGATTAGTGACGTAACAGTGTTACATCAGTGCTTCAGCAAAGAGAAAAGGCGTAATGTATGCAAGGCAGCAGCAGCAGCAGCAGCAGGTTTTAGCCTGTGTTTACTTACTCTTTAAGGAAAAACAAATCAACTCAGAAAGAACTTGATGACTCAAAATTAAACTTGCATGGATCAATACCCCGATCAGAAGTAATATTGTCAAATGCCCCAGTCTCAATGAAGGGAGACTAACCTTTAAACAACTTAATGCATTTTATTTCAGTGGTTTCACTTCCACTGCAACTGCATACATGGAACTGAGACAGTACAATACATACATATCATATTGCATATACACATCCCTTTCATTCATTCCTCTGTCTCAGTATATATGACTTTTTATTCTACACATCTTTAAAATGTTTCAACTCATAGTTAGCGAAATGTCTGCCCTCAGAAGAATCTCACTGTACTTGAGTTGGTGATATTCATGACGCCCATCAGAGCCTGGAGGCGTTTCCTGCTGTCAGCGTCATCAGGTCCTCGTGCATAGAAATGTTTTTACAAGTTGATCAATTCAAGTCAGCTCTGTGATGCTCTCTCACACACAGACACACACACTCTCTGCAGGGTGGGGGTGTGTGGAGGCTCTTCACCCCAGGAAGGCGTGCAGCTCCCCTTCACTGAAGCCCTGCTGCTTCAACAAGCTGAAACACCGACACACAAGAGGGAGAGAGAAGAGGTGACCTTAGGGCTGAGTATCACTGCAGTGTGATTTATTTATTATCACATTTCTGATATGAAGATATTGTGGCCAACACTTCTCATCTGAATAATAAATACCTCACTAACCAATTCTGAAATGGTTTGATTGTTACTGGTCAGTGATAAAGAAGGTCAACAAAGTGAGAGCAAGCTTGAAGCAAATGCCCTTTCTAATGTATGCTGAAATGTCGTATTAGAGCCCAGTGGAACACAAGGACCTTTTTCTATGTTTTCACATTTGTTTTTTTTATAGATACTCAATATTGGTGTTTTTTAGATGTTGTGGCCATCATTCCCATTAGTAATGATAACAATGTATAAACCTTGTATGTTGTGATGTTGTGCTGTGATGGGAGTTTACACAGGGAAGGTGCCCATGAAATTGACTCTCAGAAAAGTCTTACAAATATAAAACCTACATGGGTTAAAATAATACCAACGGTTTGTAGTTGCAACCAGGCTTGAGGAATAATTGATGACATGTAACGAGATTAATTAAATCAGGATACAAAAAAGGTACTGTTACATTTGACAAATAATGGGGATTACAATGGTATAATACATTTGAAATAAAGTTCAATATATTATTGGAAGAAGCACTTTATGTTTTTGAAATGCATTAGGTGAACACCTGATTTGTTAATTAAAATGCATGAATTCAATTCTAAGGCTGACTGAAGCCCTCCTCCTGTGTAACTCAATGGTTTACAGCTGTCACATACTTTGAGAAGATTGCATTGATTGTTTTTTGGACATGGAGCAGGATCAGGTTTGACTTACAGTATGCACCACCTAGCCTAGCTGTGTGCACAAACTTCCTGTGCAATGTCCAAATACAATGACATCCTGTCTGATCAGGTTATAATGAATTGTGCATGTGTTTGACTCCATCTGACTTAATAATACACACCCTATTGTTATCTCTGTGAAGGCAGTGGGGCCACACACACACACGTAGCATTTGGAGCCCTCCGGCCTGGTGAGGAAATCCTCCAGCATGGACTCCTCCACCCGACCCGTCCTGCCGCTCCAACTGTCACAGGGATCAGAGAGCACGTACTCCACCTGAAACCTGACACACAAACACACACATTCTGAAGGTGTACACACACACACAAACTGAGGTATAGATGTAGCACAATCCTGTTTAAAGATGGAAATCATCTGTATCTCACACTTCTACCTTATTACACATGTGTTGAGAAACCTTTAGCATTTCCAAGTCTTTCTCTGTTGCCAACGTCCATAACAAGTACAATACATTTAGGATGTGTTTGTGCACCAGGCAGCACATCATTTATTTCATTGTAGAGCACTGACCAAATTGCAGACTGCAGCTGCCAAATGTATTTGAATAATAGACCGCTGCAGCTGTTGAAGGTTATCCCAGAAAGCTTCCAAACAGAACCCGTTTCTGATTCAAATCCACAGAGAGGGCTTTAAGATAGAACAAACATTTGAATGTTCCCTCCTGTGAATCGTCTCTTCATCTTCCTTCTAAGAAGTATCTTTCTGGTCATTTGTTCAGATCTAAAACAGTCAGTACCTGTCAGTGTTAGCAGCCAGGTCATCCAGCTCACAGCGCCACAGGATGTCCTCCTCACGCCGGTTAAAACAGAGCAGCTTGGTTTTTCTGAGGAAACACAAACAAAGATGAGTGTCAGGCAAGGCCATGGAGTTCTAATCAGGTGGTCTGAGTGCTTCATGTCTTGCAGTTAGTCTACACTATAAATCTCACATTAATTAATTCACAACAGAAATATTTCCCCAATTTCAATTTAAAACATTTAAACCCATGACACTAAAATAACTATTAATAAAAGAAAGGGGATGCAATTCGAATGAGCTTTTTGCAAAGACAGCACAACATCAAAAAACATAACCAATCATACACAAAGCCTAATAAATAACAAAAACAGATCTAAAAATATGAATTTGGGAACTAAATAAAGGGCAGCCGGTCCGGGGAGTTCCCACCTCATGGTGTCGGTGTCCTGCAGGGCCTGCTGGATGAGGCGAGCCATTGGTGTGAACCCTGTGCCTGCTGCTAATAGGTAGAGGTGTGTGACATCATGAAGGGGGCGGAGACTGAAGGTCCCCTCTGGACCACTGATGGATACACAGTCACCTAGAGAGCAACAACAGACAAGAGAAGAGATTTAACTAAGAGTGTTTCTGTGACAGCTGTCCTGCCCTAAGCTAAAGCTGCATTCAGGTGTTCACGATGAGAAGGCAAAGAGTAACATTGATAAGAACACTACAAGGTCTACCCAGGCTGCATAGTCAAAAGTAGCACACATTAGCAGCAGCGTGTACCTTCAGTGGAGTACTGACACAGGATGTGTTCAGGTACAGCACTGTTGTGTGGGTTCATCCACGCTATGGCTCAGTGCAACATCACTGTAGTTACAACAGAAGAAGAATAGCTGTTTAGATCGGCCCTATTCAATGGTTTTAATAATAATAATAATAATAATACATTTGATTTATATAGCACACTTTAAAGACAACGTCATCTCAAGGTGCTTTACAAAGCTATAAGGAGAAAATAATAAAATAAAAATATATCTAAAGGAGCATATTGAAGAAAATATGGTAATATAAAAAATAAAAATCAAAGGTTAAGAGCATAAAGGGTTTAAAAAAATAAAAATAAAATAAAGGACTGTCAGTAAAATGTGGTACGGAACAGGTGGGTCTTGAGGCATTTCCTAAAAACTGAGAGTGATGCCGAGGTCCGTATGTTCTCTGGAAGCTGATTCCACAGACCTAGGGACCCAGGGAGGAGAAAGCACGGTTTCCCATGGTGACTAGTTTTGTCCGCGGAACAGCCAGGACATTGGAGCGGGTTGACCTGAGTGTGCGTGAGGTACTGTATGGAATGTTGTCTGGTTAGCAGTTCCTCTTGGTAGGTGGGGCCAGTGTGGTTGATGGTGTTGAAGACCATTATGAGGACTTTGTAGATGATCCATTACAGGGAGCCAGAGGAGTGAGTGAAGGATGGGGGTGATGTGCTCTGATTTGCGTATTTTTGTGAGTATCCGGGAGGCACAGTTTTGAACACATTGTAGTCTCTGAGTGGTTTTTGCTGGAATGCCTGCAAGCAGAGAATTGCAGTAATCAATGCGGGAGGTGACGAAGGCATGGAACAGTTGTTCTGCATCCGGTTTGGTGAGGGAGTGTTGCATTTTGGAGGTGTTCCTCAGGTGGTAGTATGAGGCTTGGCAGACCGTCTTTATGTGTGCTTGGAATGAAAGGGATGAGTCCAGTTTCACACCTAGGCTCGTTACAAGTGGGGAGAGGGG